AACTCTCGTGCAATTAATCCTTAATAGTACTTGGTCTCATGTGATTACATATACTTATCACTCTCAGAGGATGGTTAAGAGTAGCATATTTTTGGTGGCGAATCATGATCTTTGTATATCTTTAGTTGTGTATAATTGTCATAATCCTGCGGAAGAAGGAAACTACGACTATTCGTAAATAGCTGTATAATTCTCTTCTCTTCTACTACTGTAGTCTTTTATCACGTTGCGTTTTTATTATGCCACGAATGTTAAGAATACTCTTGTAGTTGTGCAATCAACAAGGCAGTTGTGCGCGAGCACTTGTGAGAAGTCTCGCAGGTTCTTCTTCTGTGATGTCACAGGGATGTAACACACTTGTGAATGAGTCGAATTCAGGATAAATAAGGTCAGCTGAAATGGAAGAGGAGAAAACAAATGATCCGTTAACTTTCTCGCCCGTTGAGGAGGAAGATAACGAAGAACTGTCAGACGATGACGATGGGTCGACTTCTAGCTCCGAGGATGCAGAAGAGTGGAACAACACTACTATCGTGCAACATGAATTAAAAACTTCCAGAGCTGCCAGCAAGGTGATGATTATTAAAGTATGACAGATCTCGAACATGTTTCCTGAGAATTGAAACTTCTCTGACTTTTAAATTCCTGTAGGAAGCGTCTTAACAATGAGTCAGAAGTTGTTGCTCGACATTGTAACGCAAGAGCAAAGCTTTCTTCTCAATAATTTTATTGTCTAGGGGCGTATTTCACTCCCAAAAAGAAAAAAAAAACATTGTAAAGTACTTAGTCATGCTTGTAATACTTCCTCTCGAAAACCTATGCCCTTTCTTTGAACATCTATCGACTTTATCGTCGCAAACTTCAAACAAATTTTCGATCTGGTTTAGCTCACTTTATACCCCCATACGAGTGGACGTCTGAGCTGGATGCCTGAGCTTTTTAGATAAAAATATCCTAAAATAGAAAAACAAGGCTTAACTTCACAGAAAGAGTGCTAAAAACATAGTGAGCATTTTCTAAACAAGTATGTTGCATCTACAAAGTTCTCCCGCTTCTGCGTATCAATGTTTTAATAGGCTGAGAATGAACCAACCAAGCCAGCCATGGTCAAACTGGAAGATCAGATGAACAACAAAAATCTGGAAACTTTGCAGAAGATATTCGAGGTTTGTTCATTGGTGCATTTTTGTGAGAAAGATCAGTATTTTGCACTACATTTTTTTCCCCTCACACCTGAACCAAAAGTATATTGGAAGTGGAAAATGTGAAATGCAAAAGCAGTGTCTGGTAAGTGATAACAGGTTTCCGGTTATCATCGTGTCTTTAGGAAGCTGATGAAGATGGCGGCGGGGGACTGGATATGGACGAGTTTCGTCAGGCCATGATCAAAACTATGACTGGTAGAGGTGAAGTGGTAAGACAATGCTTTTATATATGTATATATACTTTTTGTTGTTAAGTAGTTTATTCGTGACGATTCCTTTCTCCTATTTGATACTGTATCCAAAATGAATCAAAAGCACAGTTTCTTGCTTTTCTGTTAACTCGCAGCCTGATGATAATCAACTGGCTATCACTTTCATGAAGGTTGACGCAAACTGTGATGGAACAGTAGACTGGGTAAGATACGAAATTTGACATAAAAAATTTTAGGGCAAAATCACTCCTAAAGTAGGCCACTGACGAGCGTATTTCCTTTCATTTTGAATTTAAGGAGGAATTTTGTTCATACATGTTGCTGGAGACTCAGTTAAAAGATGTGATGACCAGTGAAGACAGAGAGGTGAGTTGCCCTAACCTTCCCCTACCTGGGGCTGGTAAGTACCTCCAAAAGTAAGTCTTGTAGAGAAGTAACTGCGGCCCGTTAGCATTGGAATCTGTATAAGAATGATTATTAAATGTGAACAACGTTTAGATCTGGTAAAAATTTGTTTTTCGATGTCATTTATGGCATTCAGGAAAATAAATTATTGGGATTGTAGGCTAAAACGGAATTATAAACCAACCACAAAGTGCGATTAACACTGAGCGCCGTTTTCAAAGTGATCATTTATTCTTCCCCATCCAGTTGGGTCTCACTGAATCATAGGCAATGAGTTCGTGAGGGCTGGAAAATGGGAACTAAATCAACTGTTACCAGATGAATCTGAAGCCGGCTTCATTTGGGATTGCAGAATATCGTAATGAGGTATTCTCAGGAAAGAATAACAATTTGAGATCCAATACATAAAGACTTGCGTGAACTTAAAAGTTCTTATGCATGTAAAGCCCCCCAGTGAAAATTTTTATCTTTGCAGATGGAATTCCCAAATCCAGCTAAAGAAGTTCCCAGGTAATGTACTTATCATCAATTAAAATAGTAACACAACTATTACGATGACATAGAGACAGAAACTCCATCATCATAACTGTTGTGTACCAAGGTTCGAGGCACTTCTATGAAGTGCACAGAGAATCAGGTGTTAAGCTGCACCCAGCTGGTTTATTTAGACATAATGTACTTATGCGCATACGGCACGGTTTATGATGTGCTTGCCGGTGAAAAAAAAAATTAGCTAATACCTAAGATATTCAAACAAGAGGAACGAACTCTACAGCGGTGATGAAATATTAATACTAATAATAATAATATTAATGATAGCATGATAATGATTACATTATCATACTATTATCATATAATAATAGCTATACACGAATTTTAGAAAGCTGACATTTCAAGGGTCAGCCTTTCCTCCCCTCGACGCACTTCACTCTTCACAGGATCCACTACTCACAACTTACGACGCACGATCCGCCCACCCACCCACCCATGCTGATTTAAACAATCTTGCTACCTCTTGCTTCATTTTGATCGTAGTTCTCATCGTGACACAATCACACGAATAACGTACCTTCCTAAACTGTCACACGGCACTGATGACCCAACTGACAGCAATGGGGGAAGATACGTGTCCGTCAGTAAGGAAGGGACTTTGCACTTCTGGAACATGGACCTATATCCTCAAAGAACTCTGTCAGTAAGTGACACATTATGCTGCAATTAAGTAAAAGCACTGAGTACTGTTATGGGAAAAGCAGAACCCCTCTTAAAGGATATATCTTGGGTGCACTAGCGGGGATACTCTTCGATCGCTGCCTTTTAGCGGAATAGAGGTTATTCAGAGACTAAGGAGTAAGGTAAAGAAAACTAAAGTTCAGAAAATTTCCATCTACATACTTGACAAGTTCTAGGAGTCGACTCAGGAGATTACCTGCAATTATGATAAAAGCTGTTTCGATGACATATAGTTCAGAGACGCTGTGTTTTACCGTAGGTGCAAGAAAAAGGTTCCATTTTCTCCAAACGTTATTTCGAAGAGGAGAAGAGTAATAGGTGTGGCAGAATATATCATGTTGTCATACTCTTTTTGTTTATTTTAGTTAGGGCACGAGGGTAAAGCTAGCAAAAATGTATGGATTACAGACTGTGTTGTATTGCCAAATGTCAAGAAGCTTGCTTTGTCAACGGCGGACAGAGAGATAGGTCTGTAAAAATCAATAAAGGGCGTTAGTTGCTAAAGAAACTGTGATGTGAATTTGCCAACGAAAAGAGATTCTAAAGCTGAGGTTTGGAGTGTTAGCCCCTTTTCAGAGCCAATGAGCTTCAACGCTTTTGACGAAAGGCTAACGCTCGAAACGTCAGCTTTTAGAATTTCTCTACGGTGGCCAATTCACATTATCAACTTAGTTGATAAAACCTTACTGATCAGCTTAAATCATTTGAGTTCCCCATCAAATAAGCGGACAGTAAATTTTGGTGGGTGAAAGACATGAAAAACTGTTTAAAACGTCCTCTTCCCTTTTCTACCGATTCTAATGCTTCATCAAAGTGACCGGCTGAACCCGACAAGAACTGAAATTAGGAGCAATCATAAAGTATTGACATGGAGTTAGTGAGATCTTGTGTGCAGTTCTTACTATCTCAATGGAATATCACACGGAAAATTCATCCCTCTCTATTTGGTTTTCCTTTTAGCATTTTATGACTGTGCTGCCACTAGTTTTGACAAACAGTACGTTATCTGCAGTTTGGATTACTGTGTACTTACAATGGATTACTGGTAAGCATTGAGGGTAGCTTTAGGCTCCAGATACTCTACTTTGCTCTCAAAAGTATTCATTTTGCCTTCAAAAAAAGAATCAAAATATTTTCGTTCAGTCTGTCATACCCCTTTTGTTTTCCGTCCTGATTCGCTCTAATTTGAAATCGCATGCTTTTTTTTTATGTTTACGATAATTAACCGAACAAATACACTCAACACCGCCAAGACAACGGAAGCAATAATATGTGACACTTAATCGTCACCAATTTCAAAGGCCAG